CAGTAACCACTATGGAGGGCCCAACGCACGGTACCAACAGTGAGAAAATCCAGGGGTTTCCTGACATTAGCAGGACAGTCCTCTAATTCCTCACGCACAGGCTGGTGCAGCAAGGCCCAAGATGTCCTTTTCTGTTCCGTTTGTCCCGAATACTGGCAACTAATGCTCCCTGAATCTACCCACTATACATCCTCTGTCATTCTTCCTGAGCAGAGATTCCCTTAGAGCACTCCATTATTTAGTTTTCACTTATTCAACAATTATTTATTGAACAACTACCACATGTCAAGCCTCGTCCTCGGGGTTACCATAGTGCTCACAATCTAGTGAACACGACAGACAAGCAGAGGTAGCTACAATACAATTTTATGTATGAATAAGTATATGCGCTCTAGGAACACAAAAGAAGGCACAGAGAAAGAGGTTAAGAGAGATCATTCGGAACTGGCCAGCTGGAGCATATGGCTGCAAGAGATGCATATTGAGAGGTGAGGCTAGAGAAGTAAGCAAGAGCCTTAACAGTCTCAATGAACAGTGTGGCCTTTACCTTGAGAGCAAGGGCAAGCCTTGGAAGGCAACAAGCAGAGGTGTGATATAATCTGCTGCAATTAGGAGAATGGAATAGAAGCAGCAAGACTTGACACTAGTTAGAAGGCTTTTGTAGTAATCCAAGAAAAATATGATCATCTTAACTAGGAAAGTAGCAGAGGAGATGGACAGAAGGGAATGGATTTGAGAAAACTCTGGGAGGCAGAATCAATAGGATTTGGCAATAAATTGGTTGTGGCTAGAGAAAGTATGAGTCTCAGGTTTCTGAAGAACTGAATAGATGGTACCAGTCATCATTTGAGGGAAAGCTGGAGGACGGGGTGTGGGGAGAAGGATAACCCCTGAGCTGTGGGCATCTAGTGGAGATGCAGGCTTGGAGTTCAGGTCAGACGGAGCAGATTTCTTTTCTACAGATGAAGAAAAAGATGAGAAGACATCAGCTTACAGAGGACAGTTGACGCTATGGCAAAAGATGAGATCATTCTGATAAGTGCAAATGTGTAGAATAAAAAAAAAAAAGGACAACAAGAATAGAGATCAAAGAAACACCAACAATTAAGAAAAAAGTAAAGAAAGAAGTATCTGCCAAAGTGACTGAGGAGAAAACAGAGAAACAGAAAACACTACTAAATTAAACATAAATACTATTTCAAGAAGGATGAAGCAGTCAACTCTGTTGAATGATGCCAAGAGAGGCCAGCCTGACTGGCAGCACACATGTCACCGCCCCCCACCCCAGGATAGTCATGTGCCTCAGTGCTCACCAGGTATGTGGGTCCAACAATGTGTCTTCCACTCCAGGTAACAGCAGCCTCACTCTTCAATGGTCCTGACCACTTGACTGCACTCCCCAGGGACCCCCAGTAGCTCCTGCTAAAGACATGCTCCCTACTCCAACCGGGATAGTGTAATCTGGGCAAATATTTTTCGATCTCCAGACTTTCTAAAACCTGAAGTGCTCCAGATCCACATGTGCACAGCACAGGTAGAGGGGTATAGTATGCACGTCCCACCAGGAAGGCAGGGAAAAACCTGAAGTCAAATGCCAACCCAGCATTTACATGTTCAGCCTCCAGTGGAAGAAAACTTCCCATTCCAAAGCTGAGGCTGAGCCCAAATGGGGACCCTCTCAACAGACTCTGGGCAGCCCCTGGCTCCTCCTCCGCCAGAGTGCGACATCAGATCACCCTGACGCTCTCCAGAGGGGCCTCTTTCCAGACTGCAGGAGGCCAGGGCTTCCCTCAGGCCAGCTCTTTCCCTCCAGTTGTTCCATCTTCCTGACCTGAGCCTCTTCTCAGACCCACAGTCCACCAGGAAAGCCTTTGGTCTAGCTTCTCTGCCACACTGTGCTATTAGGCTGGTGAACCTGGATCTTCAAGCTATAGGTTAAAATCTAAGTTCCTCAAGTGGGTGCCTGTGCAGAGGTCATTCCTCACTGTCCACCAGCCCTACCTTCCCACCCAGCCAAAGATGAACCCCTGAAAAGAGACATTCCCTAGCTGAGTTAAGCAGAGAAACAGCACGAAACCCCATGGGGAGCTTCAAGAAACATCAGGTAAAGCAAAGGAAAGGTAGGCCATGTAGGGAAGGCAAGCTGATGAAGGGCCAAACCCCTAACAAGTGTTGTTCCTTAAAAACCTTTAGAGGGAAAATTAAATTCATACCCACTAAATAAAAGCCCACCTTAGTAGGATCTGCAACTATAGCATCAAAGCCCATGTAAACCTGGAGTATCAACTCATCCAGCTTTGACAAAAGACGGACACAAAATGATTTTGTCAGAGTGAGAGCAGACTTCTTTTCTCCAGTGGGATTTCTGCTGCCACTTCAGTTCCCATTTCTCAGTGCCTCGCTAATCAGGTCCTTTCCAACAAAAGTGATGTGAAGCTCATTTGGGGGTGGGGGATGGGAGGGAAGGACAGCAATGAGAAGGAGCCACGGCTTCCACAAACTAGAGTGTGAAATGAAAATATTTGCTGAATTTCTTAGACTTAGTTAAATCTGAAAATGGATGTCAAAATAAGAAGTAAGCCACATACTAACAAGTTGTGAGTGTCAATTTAACACCACCCTTGTCAGGCTCATCAGCAGCCTTTACCAGGCGCATAGAAAGGTGACGGCTCTGCGGAGAGGTTCCAGAAACACGGATAAGCAGTGCACTGTCACGCAGCACTACTTAGGTTTCCTCTCTGGCTGTTTTTATTTTGTTACACATTTAATTAAGAGCCTTCCCAGCAGTTATGCAGAGTCCTGCTTCCAAGAGGCAGCCACAGAGCTCTTCTCCTCCAAGCCCTGCCACCTGCCACCTGCTTCCATCCTTTTCCAGACATTCACTGGCCTTCCCAATCCAAACCCAAACCCAAACCAATCCCAAACCCAAACTCCATCCAAACCCAAAGTCTACCCTACCTATCTCTTTTGGAAACTACAGGTCTTTGAATTCAATTCTGTCTAGTTATGAGTTTTTACTTTTCCGAGTCCCAGGGTTTTTTCCCCTGGGACTCTGTATTGTTTTGTTTTGTTTGTTTCACCTATAAAAAAGATAATACTGCCTACTAGAGAGGGTAATTAGGAGGTCTGAATGAAATAAGGTATGTGCTCATGAAAACCTGGTTTCCTTTCATATATGCTTGGATTCCACAACCCAATCCCTCTTCTTGATGACATCATTTCTCATGAAGATGCAAAGTAGTCTCCTAAGTCACCAACATCCATTCAGGGCCCACTGTACTGCAGTGTAGTGCAGGGCCCAAAGGCTGGACTAGTGCTACAGGCCGGAGTAGGCCAGACCCAAAGACAACACCCTCTGAAATTCCCTCTCCATCTCCCAGGGAGACCAACTTCAAGCTTGTGAGGCCCAGCCAGATAGTCTTCAACATTATGCACAGGAAAATTTTCATATACATATGTATGTCACACCATGCACAGGTACAGTGGAAGAATCTGAAATTTAGGTGTTTGGAAGATGAACACACCAAAGAGAGAAAAACATTGGAAGAATGCAAGTCCTGGCAAGGTTATCCAGAGGAACCAGAACTCTGGACTGGGCTAAAGGGCCTTCCACTGGGCCACATGCATCCCAAAAGTCTGTATCAGCCTGAATCCGACCACACCCTGAATAGCTTCTCTTGGGCTGCAGAACTCCATATTAAGTCCCTTCCCAGCTTCAAGGGCTCAAAGCTGTCCAGGATACCATAAACAAGAAGTACGGAGACTCTCTGAAGCAAACCCAGAGGTGTGAAGTCAGTGTGTGTACACAACCTGAAAGGTGTACAAGATGAGGTTTGTGTGTGCTTACGTGATCGGGGCTTGTGCTTCCTCCTGTCTCACCTAGAGAGCTGAGATCCAACGACAGTCTTGACACTCACCTGGGTGCATAACTTCACCAAAGCCCAGTCTCCAAAAGGGATAAAAAGGGCCTTGGTGAGAGATGACACCTGATATGGTAGGCAATGTCACTCCAGAGCGACTATTCCCTACCCATCACCAACACTCCACCTTACGCTCAAAAGTTCAAACACACACACACACACACACACACACACACACACACACACACACGTGCACAAAATGTTTGCTGCTTCCCTCAGTCACAAAGGACACAGAGCTATCGATTCTATCAATCCTCAGCAAACAGTGCCCCCCCACCTCCACCCCACTTTAGTTCCCTGGGGGCTGTGTGAGGCCAGGTATCCATGAGGACAGACAAAATACAAAAGTGTCAACCCAGCAAAGGAACCAGTTCTATCTTCCACAACTCGGGCAGGATCAGCAGACAAAAGAGAAAGAGTAATGGGGACAAAGGGAGGAGGAGGAGGCTGGTGACTTGGACTTCCAGAAGCAATCCTCTCTCATTCCACTACTGGGCTCTCAGTTGGTTCACCAGGGTCTCGCAAGTCAGATAAAAAGGTAGCATAGTATAATAGTTAAGAGCAAGGACCCTGGAGCCAGGTTGCCTGGGTGAATCCTAGCTCTATGTGTTTTAAGGCAAGTTATTTAACCTCACTGTGCCTTAATTTCTTCAGCTATGAAACAGGAATAATAATACCTACTTTATAGGGTTGATAAATAAGTTACCATTTCTCATTACATAGAGAAATACACTATGTATTTGGTTAGAAAAATTTTTTCAAGACCCTCTTTTAACTCCTTCCTTCCAGGTAAATAACATACAGTCCAACAACTAGAAGGGCTGTCATGAGCAGTGAGACTCGGCAAAGGCAGGAAAGTGCCAACAACAGCAGGCCAGGTAGGGTCTTGACCTGGACACATCCTGCTCCAGAGAGGCAGAAGGCAGGGCTCCCAGCTCTCTTCTAGCCCTGATAGCCTCAAAGACCCAGGGAATCCCTGACCTAGCTGCCCTGTAGGCTTCAACATTTAAGCTTCCAAAGGTAAGACCTGGTCCCACAGATTCCAAGCCCTGCCAGCAAAGCAGCCCTTCTTATACTCACATGACTTTTAAGTCCCAGTCTCCACAGGTGACAAAAATTGACTTGACGTTTGGGTCTAAGAGGCCTTCCTTCGCCATCCACTCATCGACCCTCTGAAAAGTACACAAGAACAGATGAGATTTTCCTTTTTTTTCCCCTTGAGCCTGTGAAGAACCACAACAGTGAAACGCAGATAAGCTGCTTGTAATCAGAGCAGGAGAAAATTGTAATTTTATCCAGCCATGGCTCCACTCTGAGCTCTGAGCCTTGACTTGGAACTGTGGAGGTACTTGAAGGATGATCCCTTCAGGGAGATCCCACAACCCCTCCACACCCTGCTGTCTGGCAGCCTGCCCCAGATCCCAGCAGGTCAGTCCAAATACCTTGCTCTGATCTGCCTGTTACTGTCATTGGTCCTCAGACAAAGGCCTAGCCCAGCACAGACACATGGCTATCTGGGGCCATGAGAACAGGCCAGAAGGAGGTCCTATGCAGGAACTCCAATCCATTGCTTCATTCATTCACTTGTTCATTCTACCCTTTCACCAAATGTTTGTTAACCAAATTTATGAATTAGGTTATCTACCAAATGAAAGTGAAGAAAATTTTCACCTTCAGAAGAGGCCCCTTTCCTGGGCTACAGCCCCATCCTGATGCCTGGGATAGTGCTGCCTGCTCCAGTTGCTACAAGCTCCTAAACTGGTCCCCCAGCTGTGTATTTCTCCTCTTGCTGGTTGAGGATTCAAATGCAGCAGAATATTTGGAAGGCTCCACTCAGTTCCTACAATGGCAAAGAAGCTGCTCCTAAGCACACTTCATCCTTTTGATCAGTTTTATCATTTATGCTTACACCAGAAGTACGAATACTAAAAACAGTATATAGCAAGAGAATTATCATAAAGAATTCATGAAGCATTGCCTATTTTTCAGAAGATCCCAGGCATGGAGAGGGAGTGCAACAGATCACACCCCTGCTTCTACTCACACAGGAGGATTATTTTTGTTAAGGCTAACTCATATATAGTAGCTAAAAACGCAGGATTCAAAGTCAGACACATCTGGGTTCCAACACTTGGCTCTTCCATATCCTGGATGTGTCACTGATGAGAAGTCATTTAAAAGCCATTTAACCCCTGTAAACCTGTTTCCTTTCTCTATAAAACAGCATAGGATGACTAACCTCACACAATTGTTCTGAGAATTAAAAGTGATAATATATTAACTGCCTACCACAAAACAGATAGTAGGCTGAGAAGGGGAGAAGGGCAGATCATCATAATGCAACACAATAGGTGCAGCAATGGAGAAGTGACTAGAGTGCTATAGGACCAAGAGAAGGAAGTGGCTAGCTCTACCTTTCACAGGGAAAGGAGTCAGAAAGGCTTCACACAGAAGATAATTGAACTAAGGGACTTGATGGTTGAGTTTGTTTGACATGGTGGAACATAGAAAAGGATACTACAGGCAGAGGCAAAGGCACAGGCACAATAATTTTATATTTGAGAAGCAATTATCTGTTTAATGTCTGCCTTCCCTGCCAGACTATAAGCACCATAAAGGCAGGGACTCTGTCTTACTGCCTTAATCCCTCACCCAGCACAGTATTCAATAGGTACTTGCTGATTGACTGCAAACCTGAGTAGGCAAAAATTTAGTGTGATCAAAGTCCATAGCATGTAGAAAGGAGGGACAGGAGATGAGGCTGAGGGACTAAGTTAGGACAGATTGTGAAGGGCCTCATGTGCTCAGCAGGTAATGGGTAGCCCATGGTTTTCTTTAAGAAAGATTACTTCTAGCAGGCGTAGGCTGGCTCCCTGGACACCTTTGAGATGCTAAAGGCCTGGCCCAGGCAAAAGCGGTCCTTGAGTAAGCCATCTTTTTGAGTTCCATGACTACAGCAATTGTACCACTCAGAATGTCAGAGCTGTTCCCTAGTGCCAGACTGTGCAGACCATATCCTGGCTGTGTCTCCCCAGAAGCTAAACTCTGGACCTTCCACTGCTGAATGGTCTGCCCCCACCCCCCACCCCCCAACACTTTGGCCCAATCTTTTGCATTCACATGCACACACAAGCATATACACACATATACATGCATGCACGTGCTCACACCCAAATCCTTTACCCAGGATCACCTAAAGAAAATAAGGCAAACTTTACACAAGAAAAGAGGTAAGGTTGGCCAGGTATAGTGGCTCAAGCCTGTAATCTCAGCGTTTTGGGAGGCCAAAGCAAGAGGATCGCTTGAGGCCAGGAGTTTGAGATCAGCCTGGGCAACATAGCCAGACCTTGTTTCCATAAAAAAATAATAATAATAAAAATAAAAATAAATTAGCCAGGTGTGGTGGTGCACGCCTGTAATCCCAGCTACTCAGGAGGCTGAGGGGGGAGGATTGCTTGAGCCCAGGAGTAAAAAAAAAAAAAAAGAGGTAAAGCGAACCTCTTGCTCCAACTCACTCACCTTTTATCCCCAAGGTAAGTTCCCCACATGCTAGAGGGGCTCCCTAATACCCCCATTCCTGCATAGTGGAAAAGAGAGCAGGATAGAACAAGACTGTTAAGAGGCCACACCCAGCAAGACCAGGCCTTCACCATGGGAAAAACTTAATACTCACTGAGGTCCCTGGAAGCTTAGGACACAAGCCATTCACTCATTCAGCAGATTTTTAGTGAGTACCTTTTACTGTGAGCCTATCCAGGAAAATGATACTACAGGAATCATGCCTGTCCTTTTCCTTCTCTTCTCTGCTTGAATGAATAAAGGGTTGGAAGAACCATCAAGACAAACTGATCAGTTGGACCAGCCATCCCAGTTACTGAAGGTCTAGGGCCCTAGCCTGAGCTCTACTTAGAACAAATGAGTCGGGCAAACATTTAGCTGCTGCCTGCTCAGGGCCATGGTTGGGACAAGAAATTAGCTCTTTAGCTCTATAACCAACTCAGGGCTAACAGGACAAAGCAGAGCCTGGTCTGGTCTCCCCTACTGTCAGGAATACCCTATTCAAGTTGATGCCAGGAATCCTCCCCCCTCTCCCACAGAATACGCAGAAGTAGCAGAAAACAGCTTCCTAGGTGAAATTCAAGATCCTCTGAGCACCCTGCTCCAGGGCTGGCCTGGGGTTAGCAGGAAGTTGCCTCCTGAACACATCTCCCCCTCAACTGGGGCCACTGAGAAAAAACCCGTAACCTCAACAGCCCTGATTTGGTGCTGGCCCAAAGCAAGCACCCTCCTCCCAGGATCCCAGCCGCAGAGGGCCAAGGAAAAGCTGCCTGCCTTCTGGCATCCCTCAGGAGCCATGCCCTGGCTGGGGATGCTGGCTCGGACACAGGGAAGGCTGGGTTCCTCTTTCTCCCTGAGTCTGGTCCTACAGGGAGCAGTCCATGCTAAGGAGCTCTCTTGATCATAGAAGTCAATCTCTCCTCAAAAAAAGAGGGTCCATGGGGGTTGGGAAGCCCCTCAGACATCATCTCATCCTCTCCCACTCTATGCAGGTACCCCAACCCTGACCCAACCAGACTGGTCACAGAGCCTTGGCTCTCATACTCTCAGGGACACAGAGTGCACTCTAGCACTGAGGTGAGCCTAAAATTGCCTCTCTGACCCTGGCTCATCCTGAGGGGACCCTGGAAATTCAGTCTGAGTCTCTCTCCTCCACAGGACAGGATCTCTTGGCTAAACGAAGATATCTTGCCCCCTCCTTGCTGCTACCCTACTTCCTCTAGGATGCCTACCTCCATGCAGATGTGCCTTGTATTCCTCCAGATACTCTGTTTTCTCCTATGTTTTGATAAGGTCTGAGCTTTGGGTTTATTGGTCTTAAAATAACTAAAGCACCTAATGAGATCCACAAGCTTTTTCTCTTTTCCCCTCCCCCTGTAGAGGACACAGGAGGGGGACCTTCTCCCCCTGTGAAAACCTCCAGGCCAGAGGGGGGTGGGAGGCAAGCTGAGGCCAAGCACTGCCCTTCTTTATTCCCTTGGGCTAGAGCACAAGCAGCAGCATCTTAACCTTTTCCAGCTCCCCGAGGAGAACATCCTAGAAGTGTGGTCTCTGCCAAGGATTTTAAAGTCTTTAATTTGATTTCCTTCACATAGGCAATTGTTGTAATTATTCTGATTAGGAATCATTACCCAGTGCAGCCTCTGTACCCCTGACAGGCACAATACATCCAGCGGCAAGCTGTGTTAGGGCAAGCTGGCCCAGCAACAGCTCCTGGAGGAGCTCACAGCAAACAAAAGCCATCGATGGGGAGTTCTGGGTGAGTTAATGAAGTGCTCACATGCCACAAGAAGCCAACACTAAATCTAAACAAAAACACCTTTAGTCCCAGGGGCTTGTCCCTCGATGCCATGGCTCAGCTCCCCCACCCCCCAATCTACCCGGCACAGGCTGCCCAAGCACCAGCCCACACAGGACCATGGGCTAGAAAGGGGTGGGGACCCCCTCCGCCCAACTCCTGGCAGCACTCGGACATCTTGTCAGTAACCCTGACGGGAACAGCTGGAGATGACAGATCAATGGTTCAATACTCTCAACAGCATGTCACTGATGTGACAGCAAATGTTATTCTAATCAAGCCATAATCATAGTCAAATTACACGGCTACATTCTCAGGAGGGGAGGGAGAGAAAGGCAGCAGGAAGGGGTCAGAGGTCAGGAATTAAAGGTCACTCAACCTACCTCCAGCACTTGCTGCAGGCTTGGCTGACCATCCACCATGCCTTGAATAATCCCGGTGAGCTGAAAGGAAAGAGAAATAGCCAATGGGTGGAAAAGCAGAGCACAGAGATTCACAGCTGAACTGGATCCTTTCCTTCCTGATTTTCTCCTGCTGCAAAGGGCACTGCTTTAGGCTCAGGGACCTGGCACTGCTTTAGACTCAGAATCTGACTAGAAGCCTTGATAAAAGTCCCAGGATACAATATGAGCTTCTCGCACAAAATCCTGCCCTGGGATGGGAGTAAACATACACTTGCTGACCACAGGGTGTGTTCAGCTTTCATTTTGCAAAAACAAATTTATTTTACATGTCTTTTGTATTCAATAGGCTCAATAACTTCCCACAAATTGCAATCTAAAGTAAATTCAACTCCTAACTTCACAAAAGTTTCTACAAAACTTGCGGAGTGCTCATACAGAATAGGTGCCACTTGGTTTCAAGTCCACCCCTTCTCTGAGCCTCAATGTGCAGTGTGGCCCCTGCCACACTCTCTCAAACATCAGTGAACATCCATGAAACCCCACAGATGTCTACCCCTCACCCTGCAGATCTGGGTCAATACCAACTAGCCATGGAGGAAACAGAGCCATCTTTAACGGATGGGGAAACCAAGACAGAAAGGTCTAATGCACAGAATCTGATCTAGAGAACTTCTAGCTCACAGGCCTATGCTCCACCTGGGTCAGGCCTGGGTTCAAACAGCCTTGTTGTTTTGCATTGTTTTATTTTCAAGTAAAATTATCCCTCAAGCACAGACAAGGGAAAGACTGCCTATAAGGATCTGAGAGAATGAGGTCCCCACGTCCTGGACACCAAATGGAAATCACCATGCCCAACATGCCCCTGGCTACTTCCAGAAAGAGTAGTGTCTTATGCTTGCTTGGAAGCCTTCTTTTTTTTAAAGGGGGGAATTAAACTCCAATTAAACCATAATTACATTTAATGAATACCAAATACCCAACTCACAGAAACCGCTGGCTCTAAGAGGGAAGGTTATTTTCTCATAGTGACTTACATAGAATGGTAATACACACCTTTTAGGGAAGAAATTTTCATTTTAAGAACGCTGAGTTCCTCTAGGTGGGTTTCTGTAGTTCATCAAGTCATTATTAGGTGGAATTTTAAGGAAGTGTAAGGACACAGCCACTCTATTTTATATTCCAGAAACTGTTTTTATATTAATCTGTATTTTAATTGGGTAACAGCTGCTGCCTACAGACTTCCCATGGTCTAAAAGGAAAATAAATTAGAAAGATTAACTACACTGTTGTTTTGCAAGGCTTTAACCCACAGCATGCCCACCCGACTGGCACCTCCACACCCTTTCCTTGCTTGGGAGACCAAGGAACTGCCCAGCAGAGGGAGGGCCTGAGTCAAGGAGAAAAGATGGTCCGCTAAGGGCTGGGGGAATGGGGATGGGGATGTGCTCTGGGTCAGCAGCTTTAATAATCCTGGAGTGCAAAGGACTCTTCCTTTTATTTAGTCAACAACTATTCCTAGAAAGCCCACTACGTGCTGGAGCCCACTGTAGGAACCAGGGATCCAACAGTAAAGAAAAACCTAAAAACCCTCTCCACATGGAATCTGCATCCTTGGCACCCTCCCACCTCCCACCCTCCCAGAACTCAGAGCCTTTCCACCTTCCAGAACCACAGACTGAGTGGGCAGTTGTGCTGTATTTTGTCTCAGGGACACAGGTGCCAAACAGAACCAGGAGCAGGCTTGTTCCCAATTTCAGGTCCAACATCCAGATTACTGGCTGACACCCATGAACCCACCACTGAGCATGCCAGCACAGCTTCTCTCCTGCTAAGTCCAGGGCTGAGACATAGCCTCAAGCTTAGAGCAGAGGCTTAGGGTCAGGACTAGCCTGGAAAAGAGGGTCCACAGCCACTCTCACTTCTTAGCTCCAGGGCCTAAATGTCAGTCTTGTGTCTGGTCTGAGTTTCCTGGAACAAGGTTTTAGGTCCACTCCTCTTGGCTCCCACCAAGGTCACTCAGAAGAGTCGAATGCCAAAGTGCTTCAAGAAAGTCTCACAACAAGAAATCAGTGCACCTTTGCCAAGACCCCTCCCTCTCTGGAGATGGGGCTTAGGTCAGTACCCCCACAAGCACCTGCCTTGGGCCCCAGAAAATCCACTGATTGGGGGTGAGAAAATCACTACACCAAAAAGGAAACACGGGGTGCTGCTCAGATGTCCTGCTGCAGGATCCCTCACTGCAGACCAGGTTGCCTCTTCCCCAGGACCAGAGCTCCCGCAACCTGGGGTGGTCACAAATCCACTCCAGTGCTCAGCAATCCTAGGATCATCAGCCTGGGAGGAGCCTAGTGAGGTCAGCGCGCTCTCTCTCTCTCTCCCTCCTCCCCAGAAAACAGGTATTTTTACTTGTGGCCCAGCAAGGCTCACAGCTGAGCCTTCAAGCAAAGCCTAAAGGCTTTGAACTCAACCCCCAGAGACACAGGTCTTTGAGATGTTGGCTCAACTAGACACAGCCTTCTAGGGGAAGGCCTCAAGCCCCTGTGTTAATCCCTCCAAGGATGGACCACCTCTTACCAGCTCTGCCAAGACACTGGATGAAGAGAGTATGAAATTAAGAAAGTTAGTCCCTGCACCTGATACTAACAACTTATAAGGTACCTGTAAGACTTATACAAGAAACTGTGAGGGAGACAGACAGTTTTATAAAATTAATACTGGGAAGTTCTATCTTAGGGCTAATTTAAGTCCTTCATGCTATAAAGTTCATTCCCACTTGGGTTAATATATGTTTGTAAAAAGCTTTCACATCCTCACAATAAAAAGTACTAGAGCAAAGCCAAGTATTATTCAGCTGAGAACCAGGGCTCACAGGCTAAACAGAGCTCTGAGACCTTAACCACTTAAAGCAGGAGAGGTGAGAGGAAGAATTAATGTGTGCTCGGTGGCTCCTTTCACTGAGGGATTACAGATTAACTCCCACTTCTCTAGACTCAGACACCACAAGGCAAGGGGCTTTTGACCCTGGCTGATAACATGGCTGGTTACTAAGATCCCCAACCAACACAAGGGCTTTGTCCAGGAACGAGCTGGCTTCATTATAAACACGAGCAACTACAGGAAGCAGCCCAGGAAACTAGTGCCAATAGCATGTCAGCATCCAGCGCTTTCTCCTTTCACAGTTTATCTCCAACACAATCGTATTCTGACACCAAGACAGTTTGTTGATTACATAAGCACTTGTCTGTGGTGTGCAATCTGATAATCAGACCCACTCTTTCTCCTCAGACAAAGAGACCAATAAATCTCACCCTTTATAAGTACAGGTGCAAGACAAAGCCCTTTACTGGCATTTAGCAAAATGGGTATTTTTCTAGTTTTTGCATGACAACAACAACAAAAAGAAGACTGCACATGGCCAGGACTGTGCAGCAGCCCAGCTGCTAGAGACAGGGATCTGATGAGTTGGAGCAGATTCTAGAGGTCACAGGGAAAGGACTCGAGAAGAAATGAAACACATCTCATCCCGTTAGAACCTTGTCTCCAGGCAGACTATCAATTGGAACTAAGAAAGGACATTAAGAAAGCTAAAAACATGTTCCTTACAGCAGTAAAACTAAGAGTGGCCTACAGACCCAAGGCAGAATCTTACTTCCTACTGTCCAGCACTAAGCTTCCCTCTCTCCCCACACATGAATGTGCTCATGTATGTACACTTGTATGTGCACATGCACACATAGGCTAGGGTTCTTAAGAGCTTCGTGTGTACAAGAGAAGAAATCCTGACAGAGGAGCTATGTAGGTATAATCTGGAAGTGTGAGGTTTGCTATAGTTCAGACGTGGTTTGTTTGACCCCTCCAAATCTCATATTGAAATTTGATTTCCAGTGTTGGAGGTGGGGCCTAATGGGAGGTGTTCCGGTAACAGGGGCAGAACCCTCATGAATAGATTAATGCCCTCCCTCTCACTCTATTAGTTCTCAAGACAGCTACTTGTTAAAAAGAGCCTGACATCTCCCTTCCCTCACTCTCTTGCTTTCTCTCTCGCCATGTGATCTCTGCACATGCCAGCCACCCTTCCCTTCTGCCATGAGTGGAAGCTGCTTAAGGCCCTCAACAGATGCAGATGCCTGTGCTGTGCTTCTTGTACAACCTGAAGAACCATGAGCCAAATAAACCTCTTTTCTTTTCTTTTTTTTTGAGACCGTGTCTCACTTTGTTGCCCAGGCTAGAGTGCCATGGCATCAGCCTAGCTCACAGCAACCTCAAACTCCTGGGCTCAAGCAATCCTTCTGCCTCATCCTCCCGAGTAGCTGGGACTACAGGCATGTGCCACCATGCCTGGCTAATTTTTTCTATATATATTAGTTGGCCAATTAATTTCTTTCTATTTATAGTAGAGACGGGGTCTCACTTTTGCTCAGGCTGGTTTCAAACTCCTGACCTCGAACAATCCGCCCATCTTGGCCTCCCAGAGTGCTAGGATTACAGGCATGAGCCACCAGGACTGGCTTAAACCTCTTTTCTGTAAGTTACCCAGCCTCAGGCATTCATTCATAGCAACACAAACGAACTAAGACAGGGTTATTCCTTGCACTTACTAGTGAAAGAGTCTCTCTGGTTGGAATGATCTCCACCCATACTCCCAAAGGCAGCTACTGCCAGGTTAGATGAGGTCTCAGAACAATGCCCCCCACCATCCTGTGTCCACACTTCTCTCTGCAATACAATTCCATGTGGTATAGAGACAGGGTAATATTTAGATGATCTGAGGTTTTCAAAACAAGACTTTACTTACTCAAAAGAGCAAATCAGCACTACAGTTGCTTTTGGGGGAGACATAAAATAACTCCTTGACAATATTCATTGATTTAAGGAACACATATAAAGTGTTTATTTGGTACTAGACCCTAATGATGGGACAGAGATGGATCAGCTCTGGTTTTTGCCCTCAAGGAACTCACAGTCCAGTGAGGAGACAGATAAATAATTACAGTGTGATGTATCTCATCAGTGCTAGGATGGGGTGAGCATACCCCAGCCTGGGGATCAGGGAAGACTTCCCAGGGAAGGTGACCCTGAGTAGAGTCTTAGAGAATAGTCTGAGTTAGCGGGAGGAGAGTGCGAGAAGCGTACAGGCAGAGGATCTATCATGTCAAAAGATGGACTGTGAGAGGGCAGCCTTTGGGTTAGGGGAGCTAGGTGAGAGATGAAGCAAGGAGATGAGAGTCTGGACAAAAAGGGAAGGACAAAAAAAATCAGGTCCCAGAGAGTTCTGAGCTCTGGAAGCCTGAGACAAAATGGGAGTCTGTAGAACCATCACATTTTCACTTCAGAACAGGCTTCACAACAAGGATCCCAATCACCACTCCTACTACCCTCCAATTTATGTATGTATGTCCTTGAGTGAAACTTTCTAGAAAAAAAGTTTTAACCATAGTCTCACAAACCCTCCTCCCCTTCCCCAAAAAAGAATCAGCAGCAGCCCTGCTCTGGGAAAATCCCCTTTTCCTGATATTCTCGAGCATCCACTCCCGCCCAGGGTCCACCTCCAGCAGCACTCCGTTGCACTCCTAAACAGGTAGCAACATTTCCAAAGCTTGGGCCTCCCTGTCTATGCTAGGCAGCCTAGCATCACAGAGCTGGAGCCCCCAAGGGGCAGGCCATACACAGAGAGGAAGATGAGGACAACAAGAGGATACTAGACTTTCAGGCCAGTGGAGGACTCAGGTAACTGGCTGGTTTAAAGGAAGGAAGTTTTTCCTTCCCTTCCCATAAGGAAGGGGATTTTCATCATTAGAATGGTGATTTTTCAAAAGGGGTAGAAAGGACAGATTAGTGCCCCCTGGTGGTACAGGTAATTCCCAAGGGAAAGGGGAAAAAAAAACAATACACAAGGGAAGGAACAAGAACTTCAACATCATTAGTTGGAGTAACAAACAGCTTAAGAGACAGTCACCTCAGCAGATGGATGCCTGCAACAAAAGGCCCACCTGGGTCAGGTGGCAAACACCAGCATCAAGTCCAGGAGCAACGCTCAAGACCTTGTATCTGGACTAAGTCAGCCTCAGCACACACTGAGCCCTCCTACCAGGGTCAGGCAATCTTGTCCCCAGCCTTTTCCACACAAAGGAGGTTTGGGATTACTCAAGACCTTCTTTGCACCTATTTCATTCCCATGTAAAAGGTAGGTCTCTAAAGAAACGTACAAGGGCCGGGCGCGGTGGCTCATGCCTGTAATCCTAGCACTCTGGGAGGCTGAGGCGGGTGGATTGCTCAAGGTCAGGAGTTCAAAACCAGCCTGAGCAAGACCCTGTCTCTACTAAAAATAGAAAGAAATTAATTGGCCAACTAATATATATAGAAAAAATTAGCCGGGCATGGTGGCGCATGCCTGTAGTCCCAGCTACTCGGGAGACTGAGACAGGAGGATCGCCTGAGCCCAGGAGTTTGAGGTTGCTGTGAGCTAGGCTGACGCCATGGCACTCACTCTAGCCTGGGCAACAAAGTGAGACTCTGTCTCAAAAAAAAAGAAAGGTACAAAGTCTCTAATGTACCTCAGCCCCAAACTCTTAAAAGATTCCAGAAACTTTCATGTTGTCTCATCCCTCTCATCCCCACGCATTCTTGACCACACAGTCCTGTGAGTCAGGACTCTCAAGGGCTCCTCCCCTCTGTCAATAGCTCTTTGAGCTTCCAGCAAGCATCAATATCTCAATTAGGCCCAGTTTCACAATCTGGAAAATGGGTCAACACTAACCTTCTGACAAGGCGGCTGAGTACAGTACCAGCCTAGGATAAGAACATTTCAGCCTTGGCCAGTTCTCATGCTCCACTCAGACTGCCCTCCTCTTTCCTGGGTGACAGAATGTGCTTCCCGCAAACTCAACCTATGCTTCACACAGGGTCACTTTACAGAAGGACAGAGTAACAGTATCAGAAAGATAAGAAAGCCCGAACATTAACTCTTCCTTCCAGGTATCTGGAACTGGAAAGCGCATGAGCCCCAGAAATACCATCTTGCTCCTGGACTCCAAGTGCTCAGTCACCAGGATGCACAGGGATGACAGAAAAGGAAAATGTTGGGGAAACTGGGGCAGATTGTGCCACTGCTCTCTCTGGGTCCCCAGTGACCACACTGGCCCGAGTAGAGGGCAGACTTTATAAAAAACCAACTGCTGTATCCAATGTGCCTTGACCACTGATGAAACCTAAGCTCTCCCTAGGTGGCCTATATGGAGCACCAACGATCCCCCAGCCCTTGCTGCCCACCTGCAGGGCCCTTACCTCTGTACAGAAGGGGGTAAGCTGTGGATGGACTACGGGCTGGACATACATGTGAAAGGTAGACTCAATCTCCATGGTTCGGCCATTTAGCTTCAGGATAGGGAATTCGATGATTTCCTGGAGACACAGAAAGGAAAAATAAGTTATTTTAACCAACCATTTGAAATAATAACTACAAGTCAAGAAACAATGGGTGTTTTGGCCTCATTAGCCTGGCTAAACTCAAGATTGAGTGAGATGGTGCCAGCACAGTTGTAATCCTAATCCTCCCATTGCTAGCACCTTCCCAGGTTCCAGGGATGAGAGACAGCCCCATCCCCACTGTTTCTGGAAAAGGGAAGGAAGACAGTGGTATAATCTGCTCTAGTTTCTCCAGCTGGTTCTCTAGCAGAGGCCTGCTCACCTGAGCCCCTAAACGTAGACCTTCCCCTTCCCCTTGTCCAGGTCCCTGTCCTGAATGGGTCTGGATCTTCAGCCGTACAGACAACTAGCCATCAGACCAACGCACAGATTTCCTCAGTTTAAATAGAGCTGGTGAATTTCTTCATTAGTGTTTATTTTTTATAAAAAGAAAAGATACATAATAAATAAAGCCAAAGGGGATCCCAAAGAGGAGAAAACTGAATAAGAGTAACAGGAGCCAGTGCCTCACCTTTCATTCAGGCTATACACCCTCCCCCTCCCCCTACCCCTCAGCCCAGTCGCTTAGCCAGCCCTTCCCAGTCCACTGAAACATAATGGAAGAGAAGGAGGCGGAGTGACAATTTGTTTGGTGTCTCTAAGATTAATTTGTCTCCGTTATTTAATAGAGATGCACAGCACCAAGGTCCTGGTGTGCAAACAGGCTTGCAGAACGCTGGCTGTGAAGCACGCCTCATACATCGCTCCTGGGAAGGGAGGAACGCACCAGAGGGGGGAGAGGGCAGGAGAGAGCACGCGTGCACCAGAGAGAAGAGGGAAAGCAAGGAGAGAGAATAAAAAAATTATTGCTTTTTAATATTCAAAAACAGTTTGCAAAATTTAATCAAAGCAGAGGAAAAGCTAACATTTTTACCACTTTGACATTTTTATTAGCGCTTTCATAAATTTTTAAAACATGAATGGAATTAGTTTACAACACAAAAAAACTGCCCTGAAAACATCTGGAAGAGACAAATAGGAAATAATAAAAAAAATAAATAAATAAAAGCAAAATTCTCCCAGTAAAATTAGCATGTGGAAAGGGCCTTCACTGCAGAGAAAGAAAGAGGGCTTTGCCCATTCAGTGGCCCCAGGAGTCAGCTCCAGCAGCATCCCTACCCCAGGTCTCAGTTCTGGAGAGGACCTTTCCAGTATCACTAAAATCAAGGCAAACTGGTTCTCTCCATAGACTGCCTGGAGGAGCAACACAGAGGTGGTAACACCTGACTGCACTTAGTGAATGAATGGGTGGGACAATAGAACGAAAATAGTCTATCTCCTTGATGTCCCAGGGAAGCTAGGTATCACCCCCCCAAAAAAAACATACTCACTAATATTGGGCTTGTTCTTAAAGCATCTATTGCGATCTAACACAACAGCAGGACTGAAAACCAAATCAAGTCAGATTTCATGCCAGAGAAATTCAAAGATTCTGGCTGCCTGGTCTCCATGCGCTGATCCCCAAAGATGGGGAAGCTGACAGGAGCTCATTCCCAGGCATAGAAAGGGCACAATGGCTGTAAGACTGAGGCAGAGGGGAGACAGAGAGGAGGCCTAGGCTGCTGCTTAGACTATGTGACACCTCCCCTCCCAATTCCCTGGACCTTTTGTTCCCCACAAAGCATTACAAAGCAGATCAAGTAAAGGGGAGTTTTGCCCTTAATATCAAAATTGAACACATATACACACAAAATATGCATTGGTCCCCTGAAAACTGAGATATACAAGATTTCCAAGAGCCAGTTCTGAGGTGCAGCTCATCTGAGTCAGGCTCATCTGACTCCTGAATTTCTGATACATCCTTTCTCTCCCACTAAGTAGAAGAAAGACTTCCCCAATAGAAAGAACTCTGTAGCCTGGTGGGTTTGGCTGCCCTGGCGTCTAAGGAAACAAATACAGCCAGCTCCTCACTAACAATGTTAGCTAGGCCCACAATGAAATTTAACCTGTGACACAACTGTACTTTTCATTTAAACTTTCATTTGGAGAGAAGCAGTGTTTGGAGACCTGCAGTTTGTCCTGCTAATAAAGACAAGTGTTGGGACCTTTAAGGATGCCATTCATCTTTGGCTTTTATTAAATTCAATTTTCTTAAGCCCATGATACATTATGAAATTAGGAGTTGACATTCCTCTGGAAACAAAAATATCTATCAAACATAAATAGAAAAAAACCCTCTATTACCAAGAATTTATGGCTTAAAGTTGATCTCTTTTCACTTTTTTACAAGCACATGGTTTGTTTTAGATATCTGAAATGCTATTATAGATCTAGAATTTCATTAGTATTTATTATAAAATAGTACATGCTTTAGCTGCTGCTCTGACCAGCACCAAGACAGCATCCCCAGAAGCCTCTCTGCAAACTTGGCCTTTGGGTTTCCCCACTGCAGCTCAATATTCAAATTTTCCTACTACTGGCTTCCTCACCCATAGGGAAATGGAGCTAACCTAAGTGCTCAAAGTCAGTGCCACCCCTGCCCCCAGAGGAAGAACAGGCCAGCTCAGCTCCATGCAAAAAAAGGGGGTAGATACCCGAAATGCCTAGGGGCCGGGGACTCAAGGTTCAGGACACATCAGATTGGGCTTGTCATAAACACACCTCTCTGCTGTTGCTAGCCCATCAGCCAGGTCTTCTCCCCAGGACCAAGAAGAACTTTCAAGGGCCAATCTCAAAATGTGATCTTACAGGGGCCCTTCCTCAGGAGCATCAGGAACTGTTATAATAAGAAGCCTGCACACTGGCATATTCATGTGAACCACTGAGGATGCAAAAGAAGAGCTTCTGATAGAAGACCCTCTGGGAAGTCAGAGCACAGAGGAACTCACCTAGGTACTGCTCACCTTCCCATAGCGCCCAGCAAGTCCAAAACCTCAAAATACTGACCCAAACAGTCATGGGAGTCTCCCAGTCATGGGAGAGGAGCCCCAATCTGTACCAAGTTGGCACAACTCTGCAGCCAGTGGACATGGAGCATGCCAAACACTATGACAGTCCTTAGCTGATACTGATCAGAGGCATAACCCCAAAACTACAAGTTGACGGCATAACTCCAATCCAAGGATTTGTGAAGATGTGTCCAAGTGCCAGCTTCTAGGTCCAGTTGCTCAGATAATAAAACTGTTATTCCTGCCCTTCTCCTTTCCCCTCATCCAATCTTATCCTTCCCCTAGGAAGAGGGTTTTTAGTAACAGTTTAGTGTAAAGGTAGCACCAGGAAGGAAGGAAGAACCAGTTTGTATTTTTAGCGCTCTTTCCTTCCCCTAATCATATCTTTGTGATTCCTTTCCTATTCAATTAAACTACCTGAGTGCCCACTTTGTATAGGATCCCATAAAGGTGTTGGAGTGGAATTTAGCAATCAGATGTAGTCTCTGTTTGGAGATATGTACAGACTAGTGGAAAAGATTGGTGAACAAATAATGAACAGTGTGCTTTGATAAGTACTTTAGTGGAGGGACATGAAAAGTACCATGCTTTTCCATTTACAAAAGTATGCTTTCACACATATTTTCTTATTTTACACTTATTAACCCTGGGAGATAGATTGTATCATCATCACCATCACCATCATCAGGTTATAAACCAATAATACGAGGCATATTAATATTTACCAGGCATAAGCAGTGGACACACAGATGAATATAATGAGATGTGGCTCCTCTCTCTGAAATGCTCAAGTCTGGGCAAAGGGCGGAGAGGATCTGTTCTCCAACACTCTCCAAGATACATGGAAAATGGAATAGCTTTATTCCTTCCATTCACTGTTTACTATGTGGCAGACACTGTACTAAGTGCTAATAAGGCATGATCTTATTTAATCCTCCTAACAACTCATGAGGTGGGAATCATTATTATCCCTATTTCACAAATAAACTAAGGCCCAAAGAAATCACTTGCTCACAGTTATACTGCTAGTAAAGGACAGAGCTGGAACTGCAAATGGGAAAAAGGAGCCTTAAAGACAGTAGGAGGACGAGCAATTTTCGAAACCTGAAGGATCAAGAAAGATCTGATTCTCTTAGTCTGAAAGGCTAGCCGTAGGAAACTAAGTCTACCATCTCCTAGGAGGAGAGGCTGCTCTCATAACAGCAGTGAATGTGGACTGTCCAGGCAGAAGAGTTCTAGAGGATTGCTACTGAAAAGCCTTCCTCATGGTGCAGAGACAGATGGCACTGGGCGCAGGAACCACACGCCTTCAGCCTGCATCTCCAGAACCTGGCTCTGATTCTGGCACACAGTCCTCACTCTCTCAACTTTTGTTGAGCAAACATATAAAGGGGCTGATAAGTGGAAGATACAAGCAAAGGGCCTTGCTGTAAAAGAAAACACTGCCAACACAGAACTCTCCACAGAATCAGAAAAGAGAAATGATCTGCGCAAGATGACAAAGACGGTAGCTAGGATTCAAACCCAGACTTGTAACACTCCACAGCACTTTCTACTAGGTCCACTCTCTCATCTCTAAGTGGTTTCCTCCCTCAACTGCTACTAAATTCCAGTTTTACCGAGGGTAACCAACTGCCCCATTTGCTCAGGACCAAGAGTTTCCCAGAACACAGGACTTTCAATGCTAAAATTGAGACAGTTGGTCATCCTATACCATCCACAAACTATACCTACACCATTGGATTGTCCAAGGGCAAAGCATTATATATCAAAAAAACTGGTATGCTGATGGTAGATGGGGATTGGCCACAACTTGACAACGAAAGAGAAAAGCCTCAGAATTTGGATTTTTCAAAGTATCCAAGATTCCAAATCTATTATTCCTACTCTCTCCCTGCAAATCTTTTTGTTGTTATTGTTGTTTTTGGTGGGAGAAAAGACAGAGAAATAAAAAGGAAACATCAACCAAATATTATATTAATTTACCTTCCCCCCCCCCCCAGACAGGGTCTCACTGTTTTGCCCAGGCTGGAGTGCAGCGGCTATTTA